GTATTGGAAGCAGGGGGGGTTGGTTGATGGCTGGGCTTAATAAGCAGACAAGAACAGGAAAAAAAAAAAAAAAAACGACATTGATTAATATGTATTCTTGGAGCTGATTGTACGACAGCCCTGATGGAGACACAAATGTGTGTCCGAGAGCCCTGCCATTTGTTACGGGACCAACAGGGAAAGAGAGAGTTATTCATACCATAGCAGATCTGTTGATCAGTTAATAACGAAACATGCTCCAAGTGAGAGCCAAGAAGTACTTTAATTTATTGCCCTGTTAAACACTGATCAGCCATAACATTATGACTGTCTGCACGCTCTTGCAAAAGTATTCAAACCCTTGTAACTTTTCACATTTTGTCAAGTTTCAGCCACAAACTTTGGTGTGTTTTATTTGGTTTTATGTGGTAAAAACCCACAAAAGTTGAGTAACATTTTAAAATGGGAGGAAATATTTCACGGTTATTTTTTCTAAAAAAAGAATGAAAATCTAAAAAGTCTGCTGTGTATTTTAAGCCTCTCCAAGTCAATATGTTGTAGAATCCCCTTTCACTGCCAAAACAGCTGCTAGACATTTCTCTACTAGCTCTGCACAAAGAGCTCGTAGAGAAACTGACGTTTATTCTCATCCTTCTTTGAAAAATAGCCCCACCATCCAGCTTTCTACAATCCTAATTAATTTCCTTGACTGTGTGGAAGGAAAGCATCTCCACAGCATGATGCTGTCACCACCATGTTTCACTGTGAGGATGATGTATAATGTTTTCTCTTTATTTTTACAATAACACCTTTTCCTTACGTTACATGGCTTGTAGCCAGGGCCGGTTTTACAAGGATGTGGGCCCCTGGGCTAAAGCCAGTTTTGGTGCCCTACCCACTATTTTTATTATTTTCTCTTTAATTAACCAAGTGAGTTATTGAGAACTAATTCTTATTTACAACAACGACCTGGCATTATTTCTAAAATTATTTTACTAATAACACTTAGAGTTCATTAACAGTTAGTTCTATTCATGAGCAGGTTTGGACTGATGCATGGTAGGTTTAATATGATCCTAACCAATAACTAACTGCATGTTGCATCCAAAAAATGACTATAACTTCTTAATTTTCAAGTACTTGAAAATACAACTCACCTGATTTGGGTCTAGGAGATGATTTTTGTTTGATTTTGTTTAAGCACAATGTTTGCAGAGCATGCATTATAAAATATATATGTATATATTTGGAGCCTTCTGCCCCCATCCAAATCAGGGCACTGGGTTGCATCTAAAGTCTGGCTCAGTTTGTGGCAAACTGAGATTAAATGATACACAGGTGATGTTGAATTTACTAATGAGGTGGTTTCTGAAGGCAGCTGGTTGTCTTGACTAAGGGGAAATAGAACAAAGAGAGATCAATCCTCAGATTTTTATTTGTAAAACATTTTGAAAATTATCTGTCTTTTTCTTTCCACATCACAATTGATTCCTACTTTGCTTTTGGTTTAGATAGTGCAATCCTAATCAGACAAGTTCAAGTTTATGTTTCCAACCTGATGAAGTGTGAAAAAGTAAATTTAAAACTTTCAGGAGGCTCTGGATCTGCTCTGTTATAAAATATCTGAGGGTGTCCTAAATGTTTACTTCCAAAACAATAGATTTTAATATTTCTTTGACCCCTCTTTGATATGTCATGGGGAGCTTTTTGGAAAGAGTTTCTTATTACAGATGCAATTAGATCCCATCAGGTCAGAATCTGGGGATTTTAGAGGCTGACTAAACCCCTAAGATCTGCTGTCATGTTCTTTAAGCCATTTTTGTAAGCAGCTTTTAAAGCACCCAGAGGGGAGGGAATGGGGCTAGGGGGGTGGAATATTCTTCTAAACTGTTTACTTCGTGGTAAATGTCAAAATAACACCAATGCTGATGATTTTCTCAGCTGAACATTCTGTTATAACAACATATTACTCACTGCACCTGGCATTAGTTATAATCTTATGACTGATTGGTGAAAACGGGCCATTTGCTTTACTTAACTTGATTTGTTAAAATATGAGGAAGATGCTCACATATCATAATGTGATTAAAATGCGTGGCATGAAAACGTTTGTTTTTGATGTCATTATTTTGTTATTAAACGAAATAAGGGAATGTTTGAATGCTCTCATGGAAAGGGAAACATTCTTGATAAGAGATTTAAGGTCATATGACACCTACCAGCACCATAGAAAGGAAAACGTAACTCTGGCCAAAAATTCTCAAATCTTTTCATTGTAGACAGATATGCATTTGCAGGCTATAATTAAATCAAAAGCAGATTTTCACATCAAATGGTGGTGTGATTATGCTGTATTTGTGTGGGACTGATCTCTCACCCTCTCTCTGCATGTGGGTGGATTGGGAGGAGGCAGCAGGAGATCACAGGGAGGAGCTGTACCGGCTCCATGTCCTTAACCTGTTCGGAGAAGGGTAATGGGAGGGTGGGGGCTGGAAAGAAAACGTACCCATCGTCCTGTATGGAACACCAGGTGGCAGGAAGTGGGCAGGAGGCCTTTGAAGCTGACCCCTGGTCTGTTCGCTGAGATGGCCTCAGCGATCGATTTAGCCAGTGATGGCAGGGAGGAGAGCCAGGTGCCCCCAGAGGGCCCTCAGACCACTCAGATCTATTATGGGCAAAGGAGAGCGAGTCGGCCGGCGCCCGGGCTCAGAGCTCCCGGTCACTTTAAAGTCAACTGGCTGCATCCTGTCTATCTGGTTAGCGTTAGCAAAACGTTTGCACTTCCGACTGTTGTCAATTTTGTATATTAGGAGAGCTGGAATAAAAGTACAAAGCAGTATGCAGCTACTGATTGAAATCTGAACTGTTTCTCAAACACTTATGAAAATCATTTGATACGGATCATAATTTCTTCTGCTATGAAGTAAATTTTTCACATTGAGCCCACAACTGGTTTCCTAATGAGCTTTCTGTCCGTAAGCAATGTGTTCAGGGGTCTTTCTTTACAAAAGGTATTGATCAGGGTTCTTTATTTGGCCTAAAACTGTTTTCAATCGCTACCAATAATGTGAGTAAGAATGTTAGTGTTAGTGATTCAGTGAAGTGAAGTAGACTTTGAAGAAAGTATTTTGTTTCTATAAGCAAATCCATGTGGCTCTTCTAGCAAAAGACATTTGTCTTGTTATCTTGACATTTTAATTTATGAAAAAAGAAATCAACCGAAACTAAGCTTGTTTAATATAAATAAATCAAATTTGTCATTTAACATTTAAAAATTGCTTATTGCGGCTACATATTTACCTTAAACTGAAAAGAGTGGCATTATTTATATGAACAGTGTCACTTAATCATTTTAGCCTGTATATGTGGTGGAGAACTGCAGTTTATCTCAGGAGACAAACCTGAGTAAATACAAAAAGCAGCTCAGAAAAAAGTCATCCAAAATAAAAGAGCCCTGTGTAAAAAAAAATGAATTGTTCACCTTGTTAAATTTTAAATGAAGTGTGACTAACCTGATTCCTAGGTTACTTTTCACAGATGTCTGAATCCTGTCGCATCTGTAAAATTAACACGTCAACACAAAGTAGACTAATATATTCAGAAACTTAACATGTCTATAAAAATTCAAGAACATATGAGAAACAAAACACTGACATCAATTAGTCAGGAATGTGTTACTAAAAAAGCATTTCTAAAACATTTGAAATGTTTACTTCCATGGACTATGGAAGTAAAGTTAAATAAAAATAATCATAACCATGCCTTCTGGTCAAATAGTAGACTTTTGGATCAGCTGGGAAACAACAGATCACATTCTGTGTCCCTTTGCCATCAGTTTTAAAGTAACGCCTCCGCTGATGAAGGTTAAATAAGTAAATGAATTTGATTCATGCATGAATCAGACATCCCATTCATACTGTTCATTCTGGACAACACAGGAACTGTGCAGGCTGCTTTGTATTTTGGCCAGAATCGGAGGAGGTGAGTGCTATCAGTGTGTACATGCTCATTCCTGGGTTACTTCTGTGTTTACAGACCTGTAAACATGAGAGTAAACACACTTAAACTCACTGACAGTAAGTCAAAACCTGACCCACCTCCCAGTTCCTGCCAAACATCCCTCCTCTTTGGGTGGGAAAAAATAAAAGCTCGACACTCGGAGAAGGAATGACTAGAAGAAATTATGATGTGTTTGATTTCCTCTGCAGCCAATGATGTGGGAGCTTTGTGTACTTCCTGCCCTCTGATAGGCCTTTGTTGCTCTCTTCATCTCAAGACCCACGCCGCTCCCCATAATCCCCCTCCTGAACACAAACAGGCCAATCCTGTGACAGAGCTGAGGGGCTGGGGAGGGGGAAAGCAGCCACAGCTCGGATGGGGCGACGGATGTGGTTCAGAAAGGGAAAAAACAGGACAAGAAGCTGGTGGTGATGTGAGAAGAAGCCAGTGTGTTATTATTAATAAAGCATTAAAAAAGTGAGCACATCAAAGCATACAGAGGCTATGCTATCTTACATGAAAGTAGCGCACTATGGCTTAATGTTTCCTAAGGCGTATTACGGTGACGCTGCTTTGATTTGAAATGCATTGTGTGGAAAATGGATTTACAGGAGTGCAGTGGGAATACCTGGTGTGGGTTCAGACTATAATTTAAAACCTGACCTCATAGGCTCTTCAAAGTAAGAGGTGATGTTTTAGGCATCCGTAGTGTGTGTGAGGTCCTAAACCGCTGCTGCACACACAACAAATAAACACCAGTGGGGGATGCGGATAAAACCTGGAAAAACCAGGAAAAAAACCAGGAACATTTTCACATATGTGATATTCCTTATGCTAGTCATTAGAACTAATAGTAACTTACTTTAAAACCATTTTTATTCTATCTTTTTTCAGCTAAAGGCTGTCAAACCTGATTATTGTGCGCTGCATTGCCAATCAAGGCCTGCAGGAAGTGAGATTTTTTTCATTGTGCCCTCATGGAAAAGGTAATTATCCTAATCTACCTTTCTCTTGTGCTCCAGCTCCACTACCACAGTGGCTCAGACCACCTCCGAGGTTTCATTATCATCGCTGGGACTCACTAATGGCTTGACGGCTTCACTGAGCGGGCAGCTGGAGACGAGAATCCAGGGAAGACGGAAAAGAAGAAGAAGCGAAGGGAGGAGAATAGGGGCACAAGGAAAATAGGGGGGATGAGGGGAACGAGTCGTGGAGGAGAAAGGGGTTAACATGAGGGACAATACGATGACGTCCAACTGCATCCTTGAAAATCAGCAGAGACTGAAGGAGGATGAAGCAACAGGGCAAAAGTAATGTCAAAGAGCCGGTCTGGAGATCCAACAGAGTGCTCTCTGCATGGCTGGGTGACCATGCCTGAAAAATGTTAGAAGTGTATAAATCCACCTCCCATACATCCACACCTCCACCTTGTATGTTTGCAACAGCTAACCTCACAACATGCAGACGGACCGGGGGAGGGAATTCAGCTTCACTTTTTCCTTTCCAGACAAATGACACCCTGACAGTTGGAAAAATGTTGGGGTCCCTGAACAGATTTCTCAGTTATAAAAATAAAATGTGTTGGATTAGACAAAGACAGACATTTTATATTCTACTTTTGAACCCCAACGAGAGCACTGACAAATGCCACCCCACCCCCACTCCGTCTGTGCCATAATTGTTGTTTTTTTTTTTCTTTCTCTCCCTCCAGAAATGTCATATAGTTAAGAGGTGATAAATCTATATGGCATAAACAGACACTGATTTCTCCCAAGTGTATGTATAGCATATAGGCTGACAGATTGAGATGGTGTTTGTCTTTGCATCATGCTAAATTGGCATGAAAGCTTTAGTGTTTTTTTTTTTCTATACTAAGAGATTTTGAGCAAAAGATTAAAAATCGGGAGGAATCTTAAAAATAGTTTAAATTGAAGTGAAAAAACACACAGCTTAAAAATAAGTTGAAAATCTTGAAATTTTATTGCTTAATAGCTAATTCATGCTGTGCTTGTTGGTGTGTATGTTTAGTGTGAGCAACACTGTTTGCATCATATGTCAAACGCATATTGTATAAATGCTAATGATGTCAATTTAAATATCATAATGCATAATTTCCTTCCATCTGTCAAAACAAACATGTTAATCGGGATAAAATCACCTTAAAGTTTCAAACTTTATGCATTTTAAAAGTTAAGCATCACATTAAAAAAAATAAAATGATTGTCAAATCTGCAAATTCAATGTGTTTATTGTGAATATTCATACTTTTAACCTATCAAATGATTCAATTTAGTCTGGAACACCTCCACAATATAACATGCTCTACAGATAATAATCATAACTGTCAATATATTTTACAGTTAGTAAATGTCAGATATATCAGAAAATAAGTAAAGCAACACAAGTACCCTAAAAATAATCATAGAAAACAGTTAAATAATCAGTAAAAGACGTTAGTTTAACAGGTAAAATCAAACAAAATACCAAGGCATATTTTTTTACACTGAATAGATTCTATAAACATGTGACTATTTATTTAAATGCTTGATTAAATGCTCAACCTTGGCACAAAATTCGCATAGAGGTTGATTTATTTCACTCCCTCAAAAATTACTTAACTCTTACTGATTTCCGCCCCTGCAACATATGCAAATTACATCATTTGCATATGTTTTACAAGCATTACAATTATTTCCAAGCATTTTTAATTTACAGTGCTTTACAAGCAATAGAAATGCTTGTAAAAAAAAAAAGTAACATCAAAAGTATTCTACTGGCATGTAAATATGATTTGATGTATTCAAAATTAATGTAGATTTTGTAATATTTTTAATCTAGAATGAATTGCCATTATATGAACAAAAAATGAACTATACCATATGTAATTGTTCCAAAATAGCAAAATATAAGTAATATTCAAAAATGCTTTACGCATACTCATGTTTTGTTGGAGTGTGAGGACATTTATCTCTTTAAAACATTTACAAATTTGGTACATTATTTTTCATTAAAACATATAATTATGACATTATAATGTTTTGGGGTTTTTTTTCGATTTTTTGTGACATGTTTTAAATAAAGAAATTCTATGCTGCCTTTTCTTGTTTTAGCTTCTTGAGAAAAAAAAAAGTTTCAAAGTAAGTAGATCAACCTCAAACTACAAAGTCTCATTGCTGCTGTTCTACGGCAACACCTCTGGGTTAAAATTGCTCAGCCATCAATTGCATAGATTTTGAACTCATAAGGGAAACAGCAGCAGGGAGGGAATGCAAAGCAGAACTTTCCAACACATTTGACATGCATGCGTTGGGAAGTCTGTTCTTAACTTACCACTGCTACAAAACCAGAAATGTAACAGGTTTGGTTTACTGATCCAAGAAGGGAGCTGCATGGTGGCGCAGCCGGAAACGCTGCTGACCTGCAGCAAGAAGGTCTCAGGTTCAGATCCTGGCCTGGACTCTGGTTTTTCCTAACAGTCCAAAAACATGATTGTTAGGTTAATTAATTATTCGAAATTGCCATTAGGTGTTATTGTTACTCTACACAAACATCTAAGAGATCACACTCCTAAGAATAATGGGGCTAAGACCTAAGCATAAGGGACAAAGACTGAAATAGGATGCAGCCAAAGTTACATGTGTTTGATAACAAATTCAATTTTATATCTGAAAAAAGTAAGGTAGGAGAGGAAGACTAAATTCTATAAATGCTCGATAAATTGAGTAAAACAGTGTTTAGATGTGAAAACCTGCATAAGGCATTTTATGTGGATGTCACATTGACGTTTAACATCAACTTTCAGATTGCTGCAGTGCAGCCACACCCCTGACAAACACAACCCGTCAATCCAGGGTGGGACTGAAGATTCACTTGCCAGTGTCCCAGTATCAGACAGCCCACAAGACAAACAACATAAATTAAAGTGACAGTAAACAGGCATGTTAGGGCTCAAAATGTTCTGAATATCCTGCTTGTCCTAAAATTGTTGTCAGGTGTCACTTGCAGTCATTTTAGTAAGTGGGTTTAGGTGCAGACAAGCATGAAGGCATGTTTTGTTTTGTTTTGGGCTGTTTTTGTCAGAGGTAATGTGATGACACATGATGCTGAAACAGTCTTCTTCCAGAGGATTCGGAATTTTAAACCTGCTATAAATAAATGTGTTAAAACCTGGTTCAGTTGGGTTTGAGGAAGAGAAGATAAGAAAAATCTGCTTGTTTCCTTCCAATTCTTTCCAATAACTTTTGATTGTTTCAATAATAATAATAATAATAATAATAATAATAATAATAATAATAGGATAGATCATTTTGTAGATGTGCAGGTGTTGAGCAATGTGAGTGCATGTAAATATTGAGGCTCTTCATGCATGCAGAAGAGAATACAGCAAGCACAAAGAGATAGGACAGACCTTTTCATATAAAAACAAAAAAAACCTCAGGTATTTCCATAAAGGCATCCAGAAGGAAAATAAAAGCCTTCTTCAGCTTCCATGCTTTGACAGAACCAAAATAGGAAACAGCTAGAATGAGCTGTGCTCACAAAGAAACTCATGGAACAAATGATTTATTTTAACTCTGTAAAGCAGGGTGAAAAACACAAACAGCAAACAGCAACACAGTTTTGTTGTATTTTGGTTGATTGCACGGATAGGTAATATAAATAGCATAGGCAGATAAGTATCATTTTACATTCAAGTGCCTCATAAAAAGGCTAGAAAATTTGGAGGTATTCTATTATGCATGTTTAATGCTGTTAAAGCTCTGATTTGGGTGTGTCTGTCATGAAACGGTACATATTTAACTCCCTGTGTAAATACTTTGTTGGCTGCTAAACTTCACCTAAACTTACCTGGTAGAGAGACGAGGACTGCATCTGTCAGTCATTTGCTGCAGATCAGGTAGATTACATGGGATTTAAGGAGCTTTTACAACGAAAACAGCTTCATGATTCAGCTAAAACAGGGGCTGTAATGAAAGAGGGAGAGAACAAGGCAATTTGTTGAATGAGACGATTAACAACGAGTTAAAGTTTGTTACAAAGTTTTATAAGACTCAGGAAAGCCACTGGGAATTTTAAGCTTACATGTTGGGCTCGACTAACAATAGTTGTCAGTTTTCTAAAGAGTGTCACTCAATATCTCAAACTGTCAGTCAGACGGTGCAGAATGCAGACGTTTCTTTGTCACACTTATTCATAGCTTGGAGAAAACAGGGTTTATTTATTAACAAAGATTTATTTTATTGTTTGGTTTTAGCATTTCTTTCTATGTTGTTTGGTCCCCGAGTCAGTCTACCTTGGATCTTCTTTGTAGTTTTAAGTTTGTTACCAGTTAAAATAATCGATTGTAAGATGCAACATCAGAAAATGTTTCGAGAAAAACAAACAACACATTTCTTTTAGAATTTTCCATGCAATGCCTAATGCTAGAAACAGCAAACATGGATGTGTTTTAATATTTTGGGGTTTAACATTGAGTTAATTTCTAAGCATTTTTAGACTTTATGGTGAAACTGCATTATTGTATGCAGTGGACAAAAAAAACTGTAGGATGGTATTTCTGGGAAACAGCATGTTATGCCGGATCTGGCTGTTCTTTGTAGATATTTTGATACAAGTATTTGGAAAAAGGGAGGTTCAGTCAGAAACACTGGATGAACCATGTTAGATTACCACTTTGTAAGCCTTTGGTGAAGACAACAAAGACTGCAAAGAGTGTTAAAATTTATCCCACCATAAAGTACCTTGCTAAAAATGTTGTTTTCCTCAGCTTGTAAATTTGTGATTCCCTCTAGAATTCAGCAAACAGTGGTGAAAAGCATAAACTTATTCTGAAGTCCCTTTCTGGTAGTTAGTGAGGTGTGCTTTCAGCTTTACAGAGGAGTTAGTCATTTAGTCAAACAATGGGAGAGCATTAACAGATGCCAATGCAGCACTACCAGTCAACGGCCAAAGTCAATACACCCTACTGGGCTGCATGCCTTTCAACAAACACAAGCAATTGCTTTTAAAGACCTCAGCACCAGATAGAAACATCAATTACAGTAAATTACACCAAAACAGTGTGTAACACTTCAATTTGTTTAATCTTCTGAGCTGTCTGGGCTGTTTCAATGAAAGCAAAGCAGAGGAGAGCGAAACGAGACTACATTCAATAGCCTTAAGATGCATTACACCATCCAGCTCTGGTCATGTAAACGCACAGAATATGAGTTATTTATATTTCGTCTCCAAGTACTTCCTTTGATAGCATTTATTTACACTCAGAAATGGGTTATAAATGTTTTGCTTTTGAACAGCTCCGAGTGAGGAGCACTCTCCAGCAGCCCTGCGACTATCCAAATCAAATGTGCCCAGTTTTGTGTTGGCATTGGGAAGTCTGGAGCATACAAATGATCCTCTCGGGTCCTTAGTTCATAATGCTTAGACTTTCAAAGGCAAAATTAGGATGCTTCAAGTGTTCAACAAGGCTTTAACTTCAGTGTCTTGGGGCACAGGTTAATAAATTCTGCAGTGAGACTACTTGGAAAAAAATAAAAACCAAGGCTGTAACACCCTTTAATTTCAATGAAGCCTGCTATGGGGATCCTAATAATAAAGGTTGGTGATTCTGTGTTGACTTGCAACTATAGATTAATAAGTGCTTCACTAATAAGGGTTTCAAAAAAATGTATTTGCTAATTAAATTAGTGAAATTCCTGTTGGTTCCATGCAACATAATTTGTTTGCAGAGCCATTCCACTGTGCTGCTCACATTCTAGCTCTTTTTTGGGGGGGATTGTCAGGGCTCTGATTAACAAAAGAAAACCTTTGACATAATTAATTATAAGCATTTAATGGATAAATAATGTTTGTCAGTTTTCCTGCAGAGTTTGTCACTTGATAGTAATAATGGGAAATGAATCGAGTTCCCTGTGTTTATCAATTGAGCTGTATAATTGTCCCTACTGTATTCTGTATGTATATAAGTACTAAAAAGCAATAATAATAATTATTATAATAATGTGGTTCTTGGAACTTCATGAATGTATCAAAAATAATTGGATTTTTTTTCTGTTTAAATCTTATTTTTGTCTCATAAATAATGGAAGCCGTCCCTTTTAAATAAATAAATACATAAACAACAGAAATTGAAAACTTGGTTTTGACTAATTTAGTCCTAACATAGGTAGAAGCTATACCACTAAACAAACAAAATGCTCAATTTAAACCAAGTGGAGCATAAATGGGTTTCTTTGCCATGGCTGATTATCCAGGAGGGGTCCTGGTTGCTGGGGACAGATGAAGATTTGGCAGTTTTAGTGAACATTTCGGGAGAACAGGGAGGCTGTGGAGGGGGCCTAGAGTAAATGAAAGACAAATGCAAGTAGTGCCCACTCAGCTATTTTCCCAGTCAAGATCAAAGGCACGCTGGACCGGCCGCTCCACAGGAAACTTGAGATGGGCCCTGCCTTTGTTTGCTGTTGCTATGCGACCTGCAGAAAGCTGAAAGTGTTTGCAGAGGGGCACAACATCAAAAACCATTTCCAATATAAATTTTTAAGACTGTCTTGTGTTTGTGTCGCTGGCTTTGAATTTACAGAGCATACCAAACAGACTAACACTAATGATTTATCCCTCTGTTTGTCAGGGAATTGTGGTGTTTGAAAGAAAGAAATTAGTCACACACAACTGTACACACAGGCAGGGCACTTGTCATTTGTCTACGCAAAAACCTTTGATGCAAAACTATGGAACTATTGATGCACAATTTAAACTGACCAACGATGTGTGTCTTTGGCCCAAGATGCACAGATTGCAAAACTGCAAGCAGTGTGCAAACACAACTTCAATATTGCTTGAAAGATTTATAAGCGTCTGTT